AAGAAGAGCTCCTTTCCAAATGTTTCATCATTATGGATTGTTCAAAGATGTCAATTGTTTATTTGCATTTATACTTCTCGATGTCTAATAACTATTATATATTTATATAAAGTAAAATAATAAAAAAAAGAAAAATAATAACTATTACATATGGGAATCAAATAAGGCATGTTTGACTGGCTTAATTTACGTTGTATACATAGTGTTTCCATGTAGATTTTTATCAATTGAATGGGTACTAGTATTATATTTGGTAATCAATTGGTTTTGTTGCAGCTATTGTCTTTAAAGTACTAGTAATGCAGTTTATTATGTGGTGGTGACATATCACATCTATATGGTTTGATTTTTTAAACCAGTGAATCCTATGCCACCTTGAATTTTGAAATTGCCAACACCATTTGGTATTCTCTTGAGCTTGACTGATAATTTGCATCCTGAATTTTATCTTATGCCCTCAATTTCAGTTTGACAGAATGTGATAATATGGCCCCATTATCATTACATGACAATGTAATTTTGTTTTTTCATGTCCAAATTTCTTATTATATTTGTGTAAAACTAAACTACTACAATGCAATTTGTTTCCCTTTCAGGGCCCTGGTGGTTACTGTCAAGAAGACTAATCAGGCTTTGATAATTGGAATATATGGTGAACTATGCCTCCTGGTCAGTGCAACATGATTGTGGAAAGGCTGGGTGATTATCTCATTGATCAGGGTCTCTAGTTGTGTTCTTGTGTTTTCCTTCTCTATTATTTTTCTTTTTTTGGTGCAGTCTTTTTTGCTTTTTATTTGCTTTTCAATCCCCTTTCGCCTTTACCCTTTCTCCTCTTTTCTTTGGGGAGCTTGTATCTACCGACCTGTAGCTGGATTGTTTTGTTTTTTCCCTTTCTTTTTTGGTGGGTCAAGTTGGAATTGTTGCATTGTAGTAGTATTTACATCTTTCGAAGTAGTGGTAAACATGTGGGGATTGCTAAAAAGGAAGAATATGGTCTTCTTCCTTGTATGAAGCTATTTGTCATTGTAACCCCGTGTGGAAGGGTGCATTTTTTTTTACCTTTTTTCTTGACCTCCTAGTCAAGTGCAAGGGGACTGGACAACTGGGCTAGCCCCAGTTGGTTCCGGAAGATTATGTTGATATTTATTGGAATATAATGAAATTTGGTTTTATGCTTGTGCGAGTGTTTTATTAAGATTGATATTTCAGGTTGTATGGTTGTGTTTTTGTTTTTTGTTTGATTTTTTTTTTTCCGTTGGCCTACTTCAAGTAGTAGTCACAAAATCAAAGCATGGAAATCAAAACCAAACTGGAAAGATCTTACTTCTGTTTGGTTGGCATAAGGATTTTTTCAATGAAAAAAGAGAGAGAAGAAAAGACAATAGAATATCAAAGCTAAACAAAAAATAATGCCAGCAAAACAGGCAAGCTAGGTTGACCTTGGTACATTTGGACTATGAAATTGTGTAGGGATTTATGGTGAGAAAGAAACAAAAAATAAATAAATAAAAAACAGTAGGAGAAACTTTTTTTTTTTTGAATTCAAAATCCAAAATTATAGGAACAATAAAAATGACCTACTCTGTAGTTTCACTAGTTCCATCCCCAGTCTATTTGCTATTGTACTCCGAATAAGAAGTTAGAAGTGTCTAATCCATTAGACTACTTAAAGTGTGGCCAAGGCCTATCAAGAAAATTAGGTCCGTTTGTTTGGGTTATAGGAAGAGGATTGAGACTACTAATACCTTCGTATTACTAATACCTTATTTGTTTTGAGAGCTGGCATTGGGACTACTAATACCTTGGTATTACTAATACTCTTGGAAGGAAGATTCATAGTGAGAAGGTAGAGATGGCATTAAAAAATAATGAGGGGATTATAAATTTTTTTTTTTTTTTTATTTTTATATATTGGAAATTTTTTTAAAATATTAATGTTTAATTTTTTTTATTTTTTTATTATTTTATATAAAATAATTTAACAATTTCTCACTATAATCCCTCACTATCAATCCCCTCACTATTAATTCTTTCACTATCAATCTCCTCCGTTTATCTCTGAAAAACAAACGGGCCTTATAGTGGAGAGCCACAATTTTTCAAAAGCCTAGTAAAATAGGCCTCATTTTTTATGTTCAGACTGAGGCCTAAAAATACTCTGCTGCCATTCATAAGATCAAGAGAAGCTATATTTAAGTGAACCAACTATCACTGTCACTTGATCCAAAAAAAAAAAACCCCATCACTGTCGCAGTGATGTAAGATCAAGACAGTTAATATAAGGATTACTGATAGAGTGATATGTTAGTGTAATAGTGCATTACTGATAGCACAGTATAATAAAAAATAAAAAAAACACTTATTTTAATGCTGTAGTATATGTTGTGCTAATAGTATCTCTTACAGGCTCCAATAGCTGACCATTCTCACTTTTTACAACCTCAACAAGGTCTCCAAAAGACTAGGCATTTATCTCGAAAAATGGTTATATATGCAAAAGACTAGGCATTTATCTCATCATTGGAGCAGAGTTAACATACGCAAAATGGTTGAACAAAAATCCTTGTGCCAAGACGAGAACAATCTGACTCGGTACATTACAACACATTTATCTCGCAAACAGTACTGAAAAATGATACTGACAGTAGCAGCAACACATACAACATAGAACACATAGTGGTAAAACAGGAGGGGAATTGCAGTAGCACTGTATCAGATCAACAATCTCAGGTCGATGATTTATCATGCTGTGCTTCATAATGTGCATTCCTCCTTGCACATTCCAGGATGGTTTTGTCAGCAGTGATGAAAGTATGCAGCAATGGATGCTGTTCATTAACAAACAAAGCTAGTCATCAAATTTTCCAAACATCGGCACATAGCCATTTATGATGAGAGCTATTAGAAATCAACTGAGATATAGATAGATTCATCAATCAAAGTTGTGATTTTGCAACAGCAAAAGATGCGGATAGATATACAAAAATTACGAAATTGATATAGATAGATTGCTGAATATATAGATGGATAGCAACATATATAGATAGATTGAAACCCAACATGATGACCACCCTACCCAGATGACAATTAAGATTAGAAAAAACCAAAAAGGAAATGGCTGATTGTTTGACAATAGCCTTTGCTAAACTTCCATAGTTCATATGATATTATATAATTCCAATTGAAAGTGTGACAGAATGATATATATATATATATATATATATATTAACTCTTATAATCATGGCGGTTAGAATCTTACAATTCAAGATTGGATTCGATATGAGTTTCAATCAAAATGACTTGATTCATGTTGTTGAATCTTAAATCAAGTTATTTTGATTCGCCGTGATTAAATTATGTTTGCATAATGCATTAAACATCGCCGTTTTCGCAAAAATTTTTAAAAAAAAATGAGATTAATCATTATATTGATATATGTAATTTTATATGTATATACATATATACATTTTAGTTATAGTGATTGCTTATTTCATTTTAAACACTATATGTGTATTTTTATGTGTGTATATATAAATTATATATTATGCTAAATAAATGACTTTTAGGATTCACGATTTAACAACAATGCTTATCATTGAAGAAACGAAGTAATAGTTCACTTGAACCACCTAACTTAATTTCGTAACTCTTCACTTCCTAAAAAATGAGCATGCATTGTCATCAATGTTTTAAAAAGCAGGTTTTGACACGATGAAGTCAGTTCAGTACCATATCAGACCAATACACCACAAAACACAAAAAGTCCACGAAAATAATATGTAGATACAAATAAATACAAGGAAAAACAGCATGTTCCAATCTAATACAAGTATGCATGTATTCCTCATGAATTTGTCAATATAAACATGTGATTTCCTCTTAATTGTACTTCACCTAAAGATGATACCAAATCCTTAAACAAATGTCATGCATTTTGGAGCACCAGTAAAAATGATGAAACAAGGTTTGTTTTCATACTCCTCAATACTTCCATTGGGCACAGGAGGGGTAAATGAAAAATTCTAGGTTCAACTATATAATAACAATGTTCATCAAACAAGTATACACTCTGATCGTACCAGCAGATATGATGAGTGCCTGAGCTGTATAATTGAGGTTTGCCTTTGCCAAGGAATCACACGAACAGCAACCAACCTGCCCATATGCAAGTCCACCACAGGAAAAACATTAGAATTTAGAAGATATATGATGAGCTGCCACTCCATGTATCAAAGGGTAGAAAGTATATGTCAGAAGGCCAGCCAAAAAACATGCAACTACTATTTTTATGTCCTTTCAAAATACCAATATCACACATCCAACTATTCCACATCTGAAACTCATACAAATAAAATTACAAAAAACAAGGGTCTCCCTTAAACCTATATTGCCAAGTTTAACTCCATAAATGTTCTTTACAGCAGCAGCTAACTGGGACTTACCTTCTGTTGATCCACAGCATTGAGATTATATTTGACAAGCGAGCAAAAATTCTCATAATAACATAATCTCTGATTTTTACTTTTATTTTTTAAATATGAATTCAAAGTCAAGAATCAACATAGACATATATTGAGCTAGTTTTGGTAGGTCAACAAACAAGCCACTGATAAGATAAGAGGTTGAGAAAAGACAACATGATGAGTATGGTACTGTGAAAAAGTTAGGGTGATAGTTTGTTACATGGTTACAGCTTCAACTTTTATAAGAGGAAAAATAACTCAGCAAAGTCATTTAGTTTAAGGTCCACACTCTCGTAAACCGGAAAGATTGGTACCTTTGTGCTTTACAATAACAAGCACAAAGTTATATGAACAAACATGCTTTAAGCATCCTAAAAATGAAGAACTGAGACTATGGAATCGCGCCATTTCAGAAGCACTGTGAATCTGACAGGCATAGATTTATCCACATATAGAAAATGTTCAATTCAGTGGAAAAAAAGAAAGGAAAGAAAAATTAATTAAAAAACCAAAGCTATCATTCAACTGATGTACCCAATTCCCTTGTGATTTCTGCTTAAAGTTATATAAATTTTTCCCAAAACCAAGCTATTAGGAATGGGCCCAACAATATATATCAAGCATATTCAACACCCTCCCTCGTGTTGCAACCTCGTCTTTCGCATGTGGAGAGACAACAGAGAACCAAGCGAAGGCAACAGCAGGACATAAAAGATGAAAAGGAGTACAACGGAGCATCGCAAATGTATATTGAATTGGACCAAGGACCTCTATTCACCATTGACTTTGTACATGATCAAGTCTATCAATTTTCCACAAAGCCCAGCTATTAGGAAATAGGCCCAACAAATCTATATTCAAGCTTTTCAACAGTATTCCACATTCAGAAATGGGCAAACTTCAAAGCTTTCCTAGATCATAAGTTATCTGTTCAGGTACAAACAATGTTAGAGCCAATATAACCACTGTATTGGCATTTATAGGCATGCTCGTAAAGGAGAACTGCTAAGTTTCAGTTTCCAGAGGTTTGATAGAGTTGTCAAAGAGCCCCGTTCTATTGTCTTTTCAAGATATACAATAGTACATAAAATGGTAAATATATATCTCCATACAAGTACATGGTGATAATTTAAATTATGTTTTTTATGTCAGGGTGTGAAATAACGAAACTAAGTTAGTGTAACATTCAACAAACGTCCACTTGATATAGGATGAAAGGAACATCCTAAAACTGTAACATAAAGCAAACAGTAAACTTACATTCCCTTGCTCTGCACAGCTAGGTGATGTTTATTGGTTCGTTGGAATGATTTTGGGCAGGAATGTAAGTTGACTATCTCCTTAGACAACTTCCAATGGAGTGCTATATATTAGCAACTTCACCCAAAATCAACCTCCAATGGCATGCCAAACGGGTTGCCGAAAATATGGCATTGCCCAAACTTTGGCTCAAATTTGGCACCAAGATTTTTTCAAAAATACCAAATTTTAGCGTTAAAGCACCTGCCCCCTTTTCTCTTCCATAATTGGGACCCACAAAATTACATTTTGATTTTACCCTTTGTAAAGAAAATAGAAGAAATGTTATGCACCAATGGAGCAACATAGCAAAAATTTAGTCAAAGCCAAATTTTTGCATGCTACAATGTAGAAATCTGCTAAATTTTTAGCAATATTGACTCTAGCAATGCACTAGCCATTCTTTTAT